GAATATATAACATAAATATTTTTTGATTTTTAATTAGTTTTTTCTTTCTTGCTTATTTAAATTCAAAATGATATCAATATTTAATTAAAAATAACATATATAAATTCAAATGACATTGCAGTTTGTAGATCATTTAAAATTCAATAGCAGCAGCTATTATTGTTATCTTATTTAAAAAATCTCTTATTTTTTATATCAAATTTTGTTGTTAAAATCAACGATAGTATGAATTTCCGTTAAATCTTGTTAGTTAATGTCATTTAAATGAAAAATAAACATCGGAATATCTTAAATAATTTTAGTTGATTTATAAATTTATTTTAAATTATGATTTAGATATTTTAAAAAAATATTAAATTTAACATTTTAAATAATAAATAATAATTAAATAAATATTTTGTATATTTTATCATTAAAATATTTTTAATTACTTATAACGAAAGAATAATTTATTTAAATAATATTTACTATAACTTTAATACTTATGAAATTAAATGATAGAAACTATTATTTTACAATGAAATTAATATTAAAAAGAAATAGCATCTTTAGAAATTTAAATTGCATATAATGTATGATTCAAATAACTTATGACAAATATAAAAGAAACATATCAGAAAAGCCTCATTCTCTAAAATAAATTTGTATATTAATTAATATATCAATAGTATATATATATATATATTATTCTTAAATTCTTTTATACTCTTTGCTTTAATATAAAGAATGGATAAATATATTTTCTCTATTTTTTTTGTATTGAAAATCTATTATAGCACTTCCAAGTATTAAATTCTTATAGATGTGGGAGAGTAAGAACTTATATTCCTATATTTACATATATTATGTTAATTAATTAAATAATTTTATTTTACTTTTTATTAAAAAGTATTTATTTTATGATTTTTTATTATAAATATGTAAATTCAAATTTTTATTTTTAATTTTTAATAGATTTATATTTTATAATATAATATGCTTAATTATTTTAAAACAAAATATTAAAATTTATTTAATAATCAAATAATATCCAAATTAATAAAGTAAATACCCTAAAAATATATATGGTAATATTTATTAGATACATAATACATATATATATATATTATAATTTTATAATATTTATGAATTATTATTTTAAAATGAAGTGGATATTAATTACCTTTATTTCACATAAATACTTTAAAAACAGATAAAAAAAATAAATATAAATATTTAATAAATTCTATTAATATATACATTCTTAATATGATGTAAACTAATTGATTTTCAATTACTTTTGTCTAAAAGCATATTAAATTCTTTGGTTTACAATCTTTAATCGTAATTTGATGTCATAATGTATTGACTTCTAGCGCTTTCTAAAAAGTTATATTTACTTTAAGGTGATTTACTTTCTTAACTATCAATCATATCTTAATCATTAGATGCGTATTTAGTCAGAATATTTGATTTAGGTGATCTTGAATAATAAGACCATCTATCTCTCATATTTTTAAAAGTATCTACTTTTTTAAAGTTATCCTTATAATTTTATTCATTCGTATCTTATAGAATAAATCTATCAGTTTATTATGGAGTTTATATTTGCAATTAAGGTGAGATACTAGACTATCTTATTTAGGCACTTTAAGTATTAAAGAGCTATTAAAAAGATTCTTAGCCATAAAAATTATATCCTTTTAAATATTTAATAAGAACTTTTATTCTTCTTTATACAATCTTTAGTTTCAT